CAGATCCAGGACATAAGAAGCAAGACTGGTCCAACGACATATTGCTTCTATAACGCTCAACATTAGTAAGTAATTTACCTTTGAGAAGTAGCCATATAAAAGTTTTAACTCTCTGTGCTACTGGCAATTTGCAGACCCGTTTCTATTTCATATCAGCTTCATTCTAGTCCAGGTATAGAGAATTCTTGTAAAAAGACTTGATGGTAAATTCACCATTGGCCGTGAGATTCCAAAAACATGATGGTTGCTCCTGATCATTCACATTGATATGGGTTGCTACAATATCTCAGAGTATATATAGAGGAAGAAGGTGTTGAAACAGAGACTAGCGCCACTGACCCACATCATCCAAAAAATCAGTTATGGGCATATTCAAATCTGAGGCTGATAAGTTAGACAAAGCAAGGAGTTTTAAAGGGCTTGAGTCTCCAATCCAATAATCAAACCAAAATTTGACATTGCTTCCGCTTCCAGGATTCCACTTAACATGCATAATCGTATCTTGCCAAGCATTTGTGATGTTCCTCCAAAGAGAAGAGCAATTTCGTCAACTAATATCTCGGGGGCACCTATCAGTTAGCCTGTATTTCCCTTTCAAGACCTGAACCCATAGCAGATTAAGTTGAGAAACGATTTCATAAGCAAGCTTAGATATGAAGGCTTTATTCTGAGCTTCCAAATTGAGTAAGCCACATCAAACATTGAGCAAAGGTTGGCAAAGGTCAGTCCATTTCCTCTATTTTCTTCATTATATCCCCAAATAAACTTCCTGATCAATTTCTCTATTGCTTTACCGTTTGAAATAGCAAGGTACTTTGCATATTGTATGATGGGATGGAGCTAAGGACTGACTTGGTTAAAGTGATTCATCCAACACAGGAGAGTGTATGGCTCTTCCATCCTGATAATTTTTGTTGTAGCCTGTCTAAGATATATACATTCAAGAAGCAACTCTACCATTAATGAGGGGGACACCCAGATAGCGTCCAAGGGTGATAGTGCGTTTGAAACCTAGTTTAGTACAAATGGCATGTCCAAGCCTATGGCTGACATTTTTTGAAAAGTATATCTGAGTCTTTGTCCAGCTAACTTTTTGCCCAAAGGAGTCACAAAATTGTTTTAGCACCTTAGAAATAACTTCAACCTAAAAGTTTAATGCTTAAGATAGTAATAGCTCAAGATAGTCTCTCCATACACAAAACAAAGAGGTAGGGTGAGAGGGGGTCACCCTACCTGATGCCTCTCATAAGGGCAAAGGTACTTGAAGGTTTACCATTCCACAAAATTTGCACAGAAGAGTGGGTGATATAGTTCATGATAAGTCTGTGTATGGGAATCCCGCATCACCAAGGTATCTTCAATAAAGTCCCAACCTAGTATATTAAAAGTCTTCTCAAGATCAATCTTGATTGCTGTTCATAAAAAACAATCAGGCGTGGTGTCACGAGAAAGAACCTGACTTCTAATCAAATGCGAGAAAATTGAGCTCTCTTACCACAGTTTACTCATATATGAGAATGTGAAGTGAAGAAAATTAATGTAGATGTAGGAAAGTAGAGGTACATTAATTAAAGAAAGAGGTGGCAGTAGAGTTGGGAATAAGGGCCAAGCCTAGTAGGCCACCCGTTTAAACTCTTTTTAATAAGGATTTTGGCTTAAAAATTTAATGTTTTTTAAGATAACTGGGCTTTGAAGCTCAGCCCTTTTAAGCCCTAGAAAAGGACTTAGGCCCGAGCGGCTCGTCAAGCCCGTGTAACTTTTATTTTAGTTTTTTTTTTGCTTCTATGTTGGATTTTGGCGAATGGCTGAATTGGGATTGAACTTTCAACCTTCAAAGAAACCCTATGCAACACACTCATACTCAGTCTCTTACTCTCTCACTCTCAGACCTGTGACAGAGTCGAAAATAACATTTTGTTTGTGGATGATGATGAGGGAGATCTTGATTAGCATTGATGATGACTTTTGTCTTTATCTTATTTAGACTTCTAAATCTTGAGCTTATTTTTTAAATTATGTGAGACTTTGGTTTGATGTATCTTGAATTTTAGAATAGTCTAAGTAAATTAAAATGTTAAATTTTATTTTATTTTTCTTTAAATGGGCTTATGGGCTCAGTCCTGAGCCCTTTGAATAAGGGCGTGCCTAAACTTTTGGATGAAATTGGGGTAATTGAGCTTTCGAGCTTAGGCCTATAAGGGCCGAGCCCATATAGGCCGAGCCTGCCCGTTTCTCAACTCTAGATGGCAAGCTATACCGGCTGTACAGCAGAAAAATAAAGATTAAAACTACATAATAAAAGGAAAAACTAAATTAAAATAGCAGACATGGAGTCTGAGAATTTGTTGATGTAGATGCCTATTGTTGAGAGAGGGGTCCTCTATTTATAGATGATCCAAGCCTCATAATCGCTATTTTTCTTGAATTTAGGAAACACTTCCGCTATCATAGCCACTCATCATGGGTAGAGTATAAACAATCTTGTCTTAGTGGCTAAGGTTTCATAAATATTTTCTTTAATTATTTTAAAGCCAATTAAATTGAGTTGAGCTTGAGCCTTCAAAGTCACAATTTGGATGTAAACAATGTCCCCCGCATACAAATTGGCCAAACCCTTCGTAGGCTAGTTTTGTATGGATATGTTTTAAAGGACCAACTCATTCTCGTTCTAATTGATAGTTGATCTGGTACTTTTCTTGAAGGGCACCCTTATGATTGAGGATTAAGGACCATATGGTCTGGCTTAGGATAAAGTTTCTCAAGGTTTGGGATATCAAGAACTAATTTTAGAATTGGCCCTTCAAATTTTTTAGACTTTAAGGACTGACTTTGTAAAACATAATTGCTACAGGGCTCAACCTTATGACTTTTACCCTTGCGAAGAGAACTCTTTAGGAGAGAACTCTTGTGGAATGGGCCCTTACAAAGCTCACTTTTCTGACTTTGGCCCCTATGGCTGTGGCCCTTGTGATTTCAGCCCTTTTGGTTGCGGCCCTTATAACTTCAACCCTTGTGGTGCTAGTCCCAATAGCTTTGGCCCTTGTGGCCGAACAAGCCTGCTATTAAATTAAACCTGTCATTTATCCTTTGAGGGATGTTATAGCGGTCCTCGTTATTGATCTTCTAGTCAAAAGGCACTTTGAGAGACTGCCTCTCGAGTCTATCTATTCTCTAGATGTGCGAGCCAATTGGAGCTTTCTCTTGTGACAATTTAGACAACATAGCAGAGATGTTCGTTAACCCATCTTTCAAAGTTTGCAATAGAACTCTTTACCTCTCGTTAGCTTGTACTTCACGTTCTACGTGTGCAACTATGTTCTTTGAGTTGTAAGACTCAAGTCCATTCTTTCCAATAGCATATTAATCCTTACGTATTCTAGGCATTCCTTTCACATGGGTCCCATCGGGCTTGCCAAAAATAGTTTGTAAAAAAACAATCAGGCGTGATGTTGCGAGTTATGCCAAAGATGCAGGATTTCAAAAGAATGGAAGAATCTGACTTTTAATCAAACACGAGGAACCCAGGCTCCCTTACCATAGTTTACCCGGATGTGAGAATGCAAAATAAGAAAAATTAATGTAGATGCAGGGAAGCAAAGAGACATTAATTAAAAAAAGAGGTGATGAGCTATGCTAGCCGTACAACAGAAAAATAAAGACTAAAACTACATAATAAAAGAAAAAACTAAATTAAAGTGGCAAATATGGAGTTTGGAAATTTGTTGATGTAGATTTCCATTGTTGAGAGAGTACTCCTCTATTTATAGATGATTCGGCTTGATATCCAAGCTTTATAATCGTCAGTTTTCTTGAATTTAGAAAATATTTTCTCTATCATAACCACTCATCATAGGTGGAGTGTAGATAATCTTGTTTTAGTGGCTAAGACATCATAAATATTTTCTTTAATTATTTTAAAGCCAATTAAATTAAGTTGAGCCTAAGCTTCAAAATTCACAATTTAAATGCAAACAATTACTATTCAACTTATCTTCCTAGACTTCTTGCACATAGAATGCGTAACCTCTTGAGTTATGACAATGTTATCAATAATGCTTCTATTTCGAAAGAAGTAAGATTGGAAATGAGCTACAATTTCCGACAACACAAGACTAATACAATTAGCTAAGAGCTTGGTTGTAACCTTATACGCAACAAAGTAGAGGCTAAGAGGGCGGAATTCACGCAAGTATTGTGGCTTATCAATTTTTGAAATAAGAGCTATTAAAGTACGGTTCAATGAGGGGTCTAAAGGATTACCAAGCCAAATCCTTTAATCATACAATAGAGACTATCCCCCACTGTTTCCCACTGGCTTTGAAAAATTGTGGAAGATGAATCTTTATTATTCTATAATAAGTAATAACCTACTAGTTAAACAAGTCTTTTTCTTTTCAATCTTCCATGTTAAAGATGATAAATTAGTTCTTTACCCAAAAAAAAAAAAGATGATAAATTAGTTGCGTTTTTCAATTTGAAATATTAAAAAAAACCTATACAACTACCACATATTTATATATGGCTTTGACAATTATATTTCGTAAGTTATTATTAATTATATAACTATATAATAATTGACAGTAATTTTCAGCGATTATTTGGTGAGCATATGACATTTTATCAATGTCATTAGAACCAAACCAAATATTAAACCGGTTAAAATACTGGTTTACTGAATTGTGACTGGATCTTGGTAAAACCATTTTAAATTAAAATAATATTTTTAAATAATATACATGAATACAAAATAATTTAATCAATATTTGTTCATATATTGTTATGCATGCTCTAATATATCTTGTAATATTTGTTTATGTCAATTTCATATATACTAGTAACGCAATTTAATTCATGCCCAATTTAAATAATCAAAAGATAAATAATAAAAATAAATCTAAAAAATGCACACATGAACAAAAATTTATATTTTTTTGAATGAAAAGGGGATCAAAATATATTAACTAAAAACAGAAACACAATGCAACTAAAAACAAAACAAGAAAAAAACAAAGAGCAGCAAACTTTCAAAATCTAACCCCCCCTACATGAGAAGGGGTTGATGATAAAAGGACTCACAAGAATGATTACTAATCAGGCCTAACCTAATAATTTCACTAATATACACAGAAGGAGCTTGACAAGAAAAAGAACACGTTCCAATCTTTCATGGGACTTCTGAAAAAGAAGCAATATCCTGCCCACTTTGAACCCAAGTTGCATCTCTAGTCAACAGATTAAAGAGCTTTGCACAATTAATGACTACTTACACACTATTCCTTTAACCCAACAATGATGAAGACCATGACAAAGGATCTTTGAAGCAGCTACTTCCATGTTGGTGTGAATTTCCTTCTGAAAGCAGCCCGGCTCCCACGCATGATCTCTGAGTCTAACGACCAATGCTCCAATCTGAATTCCTTCTAAATTATCCACACTATCTATCTACCTTTATCCGAACATCAAATAAGTTATGGTTAATTCCATTGGTAGAGTTTCCCTTTACATGAGCAATCATATTTGAACAAAAAATCATCTTCCTATCTTGCATAGCTCTGTACAGTGTAGTTAGAGCATTTACATTAGGATCTTCGTCTTCCTTACCAAAACAACAGCCTACATCTCTCAATCCAAATATCCCAACACATGTAGGAGAAAAGAATCTTCCAAGACAATTGCCTTGTGTGTTGAGCTCCAACTTCATTAGTCAGATTCCACCGCAGCCACCGAGTAATATTTCCACATTTAAAATCATGCCATTTGTCACTAGACACTAATTGTAGCCACCTAGATTCAGCCAACCAGCAATTCCAGAATAGATGAAGCTCATCTTCAACACAAGCTCACCCAAGTGTGCAAGAGTTTGACTCCGGGAGCCCTCTTCGGTGTCTAAGTTGAGCAGTATGAATAGCTTCATGCACCATCAACCAAAGTAAAAACTTCATTTTCTCTGGCACTTGAAGCTTCCAAATGCATTTCCAACTGAATGTCCTAGTTCAATTAGTACCTGCAAGAAGAAAAGAGTAGGCAGAGTGGAGAAATAACCATGCTAAGTATTTCCAAATAAAAAACTCTCTCTCACAAAGACTAAATCCAAGCCGAGTGCGAATAGTACTGTTCGCTATTCCAGTGGGTAGTAGGATGTTCAGTTTCGTTTTATCCCAATGCCTTGAAGGAAGCAAATAATCTGTTACCTTCTCTTCAAGATCAACCAACCTCACCAGATTAGAAACACAATCAATGATACTGGAGTTAATAGGTGACCACACATCCACCCAAAATCGAGTATTTGTTGTTGGATCAACCTTAGTACCCAGGCTGTCTAGAAAACTATCCCCAACAGTTAATATGTCAATCCACGTAAGAGAATTAAAGCTCTTCTTTATAACTAGTAGGATTGAGCCAGCCCCACGCTGATATTTCTCCTTCATAGCCTGCGCCCATAACTTGTTCGATTGAGTAACTAGAATCCAACAAAGCTTCATAATATAAACTTCATTCTGCTTCCTTAGATTTTTCACTCCCAAGCCTCTGCTCCACTTACTCGCCTCAACCTTGTCCCATGAAATGTACTTTCTTACACTCAGGTGCATCTCCCCACAGAAAACCTCTATCTGTACTGCTCAGTCTCATTGAGAACTTTCTTAGGAATAAGCATTGTCTGCATAAAGTAGCTCGGCATGGCTGAAATCATAGATTTGATAAGAGTGGTTCTACACGCAAGATTCAGCATTTTATCCTTCCACCCCTTCATTCTACATTTTGTCGTTTCCCCTAGTAATGGATGCTCCCAGTCTTCTACTCATCTCAAGAGCTCGAGAGAATTTGACATTACTAGTCACCCTTTATGACCCATCCGTTTCGATAGTATCATCAGCCAACACAACAAATCTTGAGGATTGTAAGCCTAACTGCTCTTTTATTATGCTTTGAGACTTATAATAATAAACCTGCTTTGGCGGTTCACTGTTGGGGCTGTAATTGTTATCTCTCTTCGGATACCTCGAGTTAGTCGTCCATGGTGACGACATCCACTAACCGAGCTCCTCCTCCAGGGGTATGTTTATCTTTTGCTCAAAGTTATTTCTTACCTCCGCTTGCGTTGCCTGGGGTGTGATCGGTAGCCATCGGAGTATCCTCTTGACTCCCTTCCTAACCAGCCTGAGGTGATGACACTGGAGTCGGTGGGGGATTCAAAAAGAGACACTGCTCTTTGCTATGACCAAAACGACTACAGCCTAAACAAATGATATTTAGACCTTCTAATCACAAACTTAGAAGAGAGACGTTTGGGTGTCCCAACAGTGAAGCCTTATTAAGAGAACTGTGGAGATTTAGCATTATTTCCACTGTTATAACTCTGTTAACCACTTAAGGTTGGGATTGTGCACACTCCTATCCAACGCATCCATCTCCTCCGTCATCAGATGATCAGAAGTTGACTTATCTCAAACACCCAGCGGACCACCACCACTCACAATTGACCTAGCCCTAGGATTCACTCACCGTCTCGCTCATGTTTACCCTAAGGGAAAACTTCTACTTGTGTAGTGAATGCATATTTTCAAAAGTTATAATGCATACTTGTAAAGTTTACTCAGTTGAGTGGAGGCATTTGCCCACTCACGCTTCAAATTTATAATTTAAAATACAACAACTTACAATATTATTAAAAGTGCAATTTTAATTTTAATTAAAAAGTACATGTAAATCTGGCGCCTTTTTTAAGTTGGGACTCTAAAAGGCAACATGTGATGATGTGTTGGAGAGAGTGTGCATTGGGAAGCGATGGCCTGCCAGCATTTTTACTTGTCAATAAAGAACAAAATAAACAATCATTACCGTTTATCTTTTAAAAACAATCTTGACCGTTGATTTAAAGGTTCTTTCCTCTTCTCTCGTCTGCCAAATACATAAACGCTGTCCCTTATTTATAATTGAAATGAAATTTAAATTGAAATTATGGTTTTAATTATTTGATATGCATGAATTTAATTTTTTATGGATTCTAATTTTATCAAAATACTTAAAATTTAATTTCATCTTTATCATGATGAAATTGTCACAATTCTATGGAATTATTATAAATGCCCCACATACATACTCCATCATGATAACTAAGTTTTTATTTTTTTTATAAGGATATTTTGGTTTTTATTTATTTTAAATACATATATTTATTAATATTATATTTAAATTCTATCTTCATACCAAACATACATTTATAATTCAATTCTATTCTGATTTTAATTTTGATTTTAATTTTAATTTCGATTTCGATTTCATCAAAAACTCTTCCATCATATCAAACGAGACCTTAACTACATTTCACCGCAGACCCCACTTCAGACTCACAAAGGCGAGGAGAAAATGGTAAAATGCTGTGAGACATCGCCATCTGACAAAAGAAGGGTGCATGGCTTGACTTTTCAAAATGAAGAACATTTGTATTTTTCTTCTTCTTTTCCCTTTTATGCTGTTCTTTTCTCTTCAATATTCTTCACTATTATTCTTCCACTTTTCTTCTCGAGCCCTCAGTTTTGTTTTTTTTTTTTTTTGGCCTGGGTGGTCAATCTTTAGGTCATTTTTTTGGGGCCTGGCAGAACCAGCTAACCGGACATGTGCCTTTTTATATTTATAAAAGAAATAAAACATTAATTTGATAAAATATCATGATATGTTAAGTTATTAACACAATAAAACCACAAATCCTTAGCATCAAACAGGTATTCTAAATAACAATTATTATTCTTTCCCTTCAAAAATCAATAAATCCCTCACTTTGACAGTTGACAAAAAGAACAAATAACCAGTTTTAGAATTTACTTTCAGATCATTGATCAAAGAAAAGAATTTACTTTCAGATTCAAAACGAATTGCTGATACAGGGAAAGACGATGAAGAAAGGACTTTATAGGTTGGATGAAGGAAGAAGACGAGTTGCAGATTCAGATTGAAAACTAAGTTCATATTCGAAGCTTGGGAGAACACGATCTCAAATCAAAATGAAAGAACAAAAGAAGGAAAGCACAAACGAAGATTCTTCCGCAAAAGCTTCGACTGACGACGTCGCACAGAAAAGAGAAGTAAGAGTCTCAGTCTCAGACTGAATGAAGAAGAGTCTCCCCATCTCAATCTCCCAGATCGACGGCGTCGCACGCGAGGTAACTTGGTAGAATGGATGAAGGATTTTTTTGGCATCAAAAATTTTTTCAAACCTTATACCCAATGACCCGCCGGAACCGCTTTCAACCTGCTCCAGGTTCCCGTCTAATTTCGGCTCTCTAAAAACCATCTGGTCCAAAGCTGCTCAAAACAATCCAACGAGCTAACCTGAGCCGTCTTCATGCCCAGACGACGGTTCAATCGATCCGACCGACAGGTCAGTTCGATTATCAAAACACTGCTTGGAATACCGCACTGGACCGAACGGTCGAACCGTCGACCGGTTTGATTTTTGATCTGATTTAAAAAAAAAATTATTTTAGGAGTTGAGTCAGTTTGAGTCGTTTCGAACCGACGATCGGATCGAAAATCAAAATCAAACTGAGAACTGAATTTACTTTTTCAAAAATCGGACTGTTAAAAAAAAATTATTTTTTATCAAATTTAAAAAAAAATGACTACTTTTTTAATTATTTAATATTATATTGTATCATATGTCTTGTTAAGTCATGATAAATTTAAAATATTTAATTTTTTTAAGTTAAATAATAATTTTATATATATTTTTTATATTTAAATTATTATATATATATATATATTTTAATTTAATTATTATGTTAACGGTTTAACTATACGAATCATAAATTATTTTTTTAATTTAATATCCAAGGATTTTAAAAACATCACTTAGGGTGAGTGGATTAGGATGAGACGTCAATTTTTGACATTATTATTTGGGGAGAATAGCTAATCAGACTTTTCTCTACAAATATCTAATCAGTTCCCAATTGCTTGCCTCCCAAGTCATCTAATAAACACGCGTATGACTTCAATGTCCCTGTCGGCTAGTTGATAGACACCATCAGGCGTATCCATTACGCCGTGGACTTTCAAATAATTTTATAAGTTTTGATAAGATTATGCACAATAATAAAATTTAATAATAATACATTATAAACTTATTTTTTAAAATAAAAATATAAATTTTTAAGATACATCTTATTTAATATAATTTTAAATTTATATACTTACTCCCTCCCATTCAAAATATGAATAGTTTTTACAAAAAAATTCATATATTAATAAAGTCTTTATCTCTATAAAATATATATTAATTTTTTTTTTACTTCTAATTCCAATTAATAATGCACTTTACAAGGAGTGAAAAAGATATTTATATAAATATTTAAGTTAATAAATACAAGGGGTAAAATTTTTTTATATACTAAATTATTCATATTTTGAACCAAAATTAATTAAAAAAATAATTATATTTTAAATTAGAAAGAGTAATCATTAACACTATAATTATTTTCATTCTCTCTTCACTTAAAAAAGTACTAATATTAAAAAAATATTAATAATAAAATCTTATTTTTATTAAATTATTTTATATTTTGAGATAGCAATCGGAGGGCATAATATATTAATAATTCTATTAAAATATGAGGTATTAATTAACTCATTTTTTCACAATTTCTTACTACTTAACTTTTTTAAATTTATGATTTTCACCGCGTCGTTGACTAGTACAATGGCTCTAGATACCCTGGTTTACTACCATGCACTAGACCAGACTATGATTGGTTCTCATAGTTGATTGAACAGACGGATCCAGTTAAATTTAAGTTAAAATATACTTTTATTTTTTTTATTTTATACAAAATTTTATTTTAATCCTTTAATCCTAATACTATTAATTTAATTAAAAAAAATCTTTCATTAAATTTTTAAATAATGACAAAACATTTTTCAATATTGACTTATTAAATTTAATTTTTTAAAATAACAATGATTCTCAGAAAAATCAATCTTTTAAAACTAACAGTATTAAAATTAAAG